GTGCGCCTTCACTCCTTCATGTCTGCAACCCGTGCATCCGTTGAGCACGAATAGTTGCATGCAGTGCGCCTTCATTATCTTGATTGATTGCAATGTTTGGGAGCTATGAGAAATGATGACGCGTGGGTAAGTCCGGAGGAAAGAGAGGAAGTTCGGTGGAAAGTTACGCCTTGAAGGAATTAACCTTAAAACTTTCACTGGTATTTTAAGTGCTCAACAATTTTTACAAACTTAGATTTTTGAAGACTATTCCAACGTGTTAGTTTTTTCTTACTTTTTTTCTCTCTGAACTCGCTGAAAAATTGGCAACATCCGGCCTCTTTTTGTGTCACATCACTTGCAGAAGATATCCCCCTGCCGAGCTACGGAAAAACGCCGTATGAACAATCGGGAGTTTCCTAAATTTCTTCCATAAAATTGTAAATTTTTCGGCTGAAAATATGAACTTTATTTCCGTCGTATTTTCAGGTACTTTAAAAAAATTGCAAACGAAACTATCCGAAAAATTGGGAGAAGAATATTCAAAGGTTCACCGGAAAATTCGTGTTTTATCAAAAGAAATATGGCAACGCCTGAAGGCTCATACGACGTTTTTCCTTGGCAAGACAGTATCGACCCGGTGCTTTCCCGGTAAGAGGCCAAGTCCCGAGGGAACTCGGAAACTTTTGGAAGACTTTATTGCGCCGTGTTATGAGCAGTCAACAGGAGGGCAGTTTTCTGGATGTAGATGAAGAGTGCGGACTTCCCGCGGGATAAACAGTGTATGAGCAGGGAATTCCCATTGGAGTTGTGCTATTTTTGAGTGACGGGGTGGTGTAATCCCTTGCTGAAGTAAAACGCCAGATGAATATTCAAATGTTGCCAAATTCACTCTCAGAAAATACTTATTTTTGAGGATAGTTATGCATGTTTTTCATTAAAACTTTCTGACACTATAGATAAACTACGAACAAAATTTCCTGGAAATTTGAAGAGAAGTTATCTACAAATTTCCAAGAAAATTCGAGTTTTCTCAAAAGAGGTTTGGCAACGTCTGAAGGCTCATACGGCGTTCTTTCTTAGCACAGCAGTGTAGGTGTTGGAGAGGTCGGATGTTGAGGGAAGTTCAATTGAATTGAACGACGCATTTCTTTAGAAATGCACGTAAGTGCACTAGAAATTGCGTAGATTTTGACGTGTTTCTAGTAATACTGCCGTGCTAAGGAAAAACGTCGATGAACATTTGAGAGTTGCCAAATTTCCTTCGATGAAATGTTTATGTTGAGGAAATTAATGAATATTTTACCTTGAAATTTTCAGGAACTTTAGATCAAAATGCGAACAAAATTATCTGAAAAATTGGAAGAAAAATATTCATGTGTTTACCAGGAAATTTGTAATTTATCAAAGGATATTTGGCAACGTCTGAAGGTTCATACGGCGTTCTTCCTCAGCAGGGCAGAATAGTGGGTATTTGTGCGGAGGTTCATCCCGGTATTATTGCCACTCGGGGGTCTTGTTTCTTTGACTCATCGCCCCTCGGTTTTCGCGATTCCGCCCAGTTTTCTGCAACAGTTGGAGAACTTGACGCGCAAAGCTCAAACGATCTCAGATTGGAGCGCTCGAGATTAGCATCTGGGAAGGCACCAAATTAACTCGAGATGTGAACGAACTTCTCCGTTTCCTCCTTCTATTCCTCGTCTCGGGTTTCAATTCCGCGCAATTTTTGATACAGTAATTCGCTTAATGACTCATTCCGGGAAACGGGAATCGGTCTCATTAAGGCGTAGTGAAGTTCTGGCGGAGATAAAGCGCGTTGTTTGAAAGTTCAAAGCAAAGAGACAGCTTTCCGGAAAATCTCTTGAAGGTTTTCTTTATAAGAAAAGTTGTCTTAGTTTTCCTTCTGTTTTTCGAGCTTTTGAGTGCGAATAAGAGGAGGTTCATCTCGCAATCAGTCAGATGCCACTGATCTCTCACAGGTCCGCTGTTTTATCGGCTATAATTCAAACCCGTTGGTTATTATACTCTTGACAATCGCATTGTGATAAATTCTCCTGGTATTCAGCAAAGATCTCTTGGTTCCAAAGGACTATCATTATGTGAAGTTTTAACACTTAACGTTTCACTCATGCAGAGTCATTCGTTTGAATTTTCAAATATCTTCAAAGGAATTAGTGGGCTGCTTATTGAAATCTATAGACAAAGCGATAGATAACGAAAACGACGAGGGAACAGAGTGATCCTATTAGTGGAAACGGGAGCGGTTGCAACAGACAAAGGAGATAAGCAATGGACTAACTAACGGCAACCCACGAGAGAGTCTATCATTGTCGCCGAGGTTAGTTCAAGTTAGATTAAATAAGCGAAGTATACGATTTTATATCATGATGAACTTTAAAACTAAGGGAGGTCTACTTGCTTTTGGGCTCCATGCTCAAGCAAAGAAGTGAAAAGTTTAGCGATGAGCATGGAGTCCAAGATCTTGGACGAGATGAGCAGGCAAGTACATCGAGTGTGAGCATGGAGTCTAATATCTTCGACGCGATGCTACATAATCGTTGGCTTCAACCGACAGGATCACTTCATTTTACCTTCGTCTGTGTTGTCTATAGCTATGTTCCAAAGGACAATGTCATGTATGTATCAATGTCAATAAACAGCCTGCAGCTCGGTCGACAGAAACAACCGAACGCGCTCAACTTGAAGTTCACATGCGTCGACGAGAGCGGCATTGTTCCTGCGCGAAGTGGAGAGCGGGTTTCCTTCTTGTTCCTCCTTTCGCCGGAACGGCCTCATCACCGCCGCGTGTCGATTGTCTTCGCGGATGGGAATGGATGCTCCAGACGTGGATGGCTCAATTTGTCACTCCTCCGACGTAAGCGCGTATCTCGATTTCCACATAGGCCTTGGAAAGCATAGAGTTATATGAGGATCAGGGCTCACGTGGGGATCCAGGTACGTCCTTACGTCGGAGGATGGAGGAATTATGCGGCTCGAACGGCCCATAAATGTCGCCGTGCCCGTTATGCAATTGCAGTTGCCTCCAGCTCCGTTTCCGATCACCGCCGGCGACGATTTCTGCCGCGCTAAGGAAAAACCCCGGATGAGTGTTCCAATGTTGCCAAATCGGGGACTAATTGGACGTATTTCTATCAAACGGAACTATGTGCATTATTAAGACATGAGGCCTGAGACCCATAAGAATATATACATAACAGGGCTCATGTCATATTGCACATAGTTCCGTTTGATACACTGGAAAAAAAAGAAAGAAAGAAAAAAAGAAAAAAAAACACATTGGATCAAGAGTCCAGACTCTTGAAAACATTGACAAGAAAAAATACTCTTAATTCAATCGGATTTTTGCTTGAATCAAAACGAAATCCGCTTGAATCAAGAGGCTTGGTTCTTGATTTAAGCTAGATTCTGATTGAATCAAGAGTACTTTTCCTTGTCGATGTTTTGAAGAGTCTGGGCTCTAGATCCAATTTTTTTTTTTTTCCCAGTGTATACATGACAGGGCTCATGTCATATTGCACATAGTTCCGTTTGATAGAAATACTTCCAATTGGACCGTGTTTAACGGAGAGGAACCAAACCACATCAGCATTTCAGAAACTGCCAGATTTAAATGGGCACTTTAATTTTATACGAGAGAACGTTTGTGCGGATTCCTTCGAGAAGTTTCAGGAATTTGCTTCGTGCTACGGAAAAAATTCACTGAAATTTGCACAAAAATCCGCACAGTCGTTTTCATGTATAAAATTAAATTGCCAAATTAAAGGCAATAACGGAAGTGGCTTGGTTCCTTTCTGTTTAACGAGGTCAAATTCTGCCGTGCGCATAGAGACGCCGTATAAAGATTCGAATGTGCCGAATTTCTTTCCAGAAGGTATTTATTATTGTAGAAAATTGAATATTTCCACTAGAAAGTTTTGAATACTTAAAATGAAATTGAACCAAATTCTTCAAGAAATTGGAAGGCTGATGGGCCTTTATTATGGCTTTTTTTATTTACTTCAAAGAAAAATTATAGATAAGATGAAATTTCAATTTTTTTAAAAATTTTTTAAATTTTTTTTTTTAAGATGACAATACTTCCCGTACCCACGAGGCGAGAGGAACGAGAAAGTAAAAAAGTTTGAAGCTAAAAAAATACATGCAACTTTCCTGTCGGCGAATTTCAAAAGATCCATTTTGTATTGGCAACACAGCATAATCACAGCGAAGGCCATAAACAAAAGCGTGAAATTTATTCTACGCATGAACTCTCTATTACAAAAAAGAAAAGGGGAACAACTGCAATATCTATTTATTCGACGATAAAACCGCTTTGAACTTCAACACTTCGGCTGCAATTAATTTCTTCATGATTCAGAGGCAGCATATCGGCACGTTTTTGAACAGAATTGAAGTAGTCGCATGTATCAGAGGGGGAAAAATGTAACCTTTTAGGTAGCTATTGATAGGTAAAAACGCCACTGCAATTAATTTGATCATGATAGTAGACTCATGCGATAGCATATCATTATAACGTTGCGACAAAATCCCGAGAAATGAATTCTGTTCATTCGAGAGAATATTTACTAATTGGCAAAGGACTGAAAACCGAACAGCGCTGCAATTAATTTGTTTAAGATAATAGTCTCGGCGCATCTTAAGGAAAAAAGAAACAGAAACGATAATAGTTCCCAAGGGCAAAAAATGGACAGCTTTTGATTCAATTACGATTCTCATCAGTTGCATCGGCATAAATCAAATAATGTAGGAAATAATAGCGTCACTTTTGCATTTAAATGAGCTTCGATGGCTAGGCGTGCTTTGCGATACATCGATTGCTGTCATTGAAACGTAAGGTAAAGGATCGATAAACAGGGAGTTCGCAATGAACACTTTATAGATTCTTCACCATAGCTTCAAATGGGGAAATATCGATAATCGATCATTCATGTCTCGCCACTGATAAGCTTCAACAAAGTGTCCCACTCCCTCCACTGCTCGTAAGGAAAAATTCAAAAGCGGGGTTTTGATTAAATGCATGAGGAAAAAGCACAGACAATCGTTCGAAGTTGAACTGCGTAGAGTGCCTTCCGACAGTGGTGATATCTTACGGTGCACTGGTAAATCTGTGATCTTATTCTCCGATTCTTCTAACACACACTTATCTGCACCAGGTGAGGTGTTTAATTTTATTTTGTTTTTGCGTGTCGAAGGGATTTTAAGAATCTAGGGATGACGGTTATCAGCCGTATCAATATTTGACATTATTTTGTTTTTTGCGCTCGCGAAAAAAATAGACTGTGGCTGGACACAACTTCCGAACTTTTGGAGTTTCATCGCGATTTATGAATGAAATGGTATCGGGGCTGGATCTCAACTCGAGTTGCGGGGAAAGAGGGGGTCAAAAATGCCGAAAAGTGCGTTGAGTAACTTATGAGCGCTCGTATCTAAGTATACATGTTTCTACAAAATCTTTATCTCCATCAATTTTTCCTTTCTTATTCAGCAAAAACTAGGAAAAATCATCCTTGACATGCCTTCTTCTCTTCCTTCATCTGCTTCTCCTCTTTCCTTTGACAGAGCGTAAGCCCTGTATGTCTAGTCATTACCCAGTCATGCAAGTATGCATAAATTAAAATTAATACGAACTACGATGTACCTTGCAATGAATTCTTTTCTATTCTAGCTGACGCTCAATACTTTTTTAAAACTTCTTTGTAAAACAAATCATCTTTGAGATGTCTTCTCCTCCTTCTCCTTCTCCTCCTCCTCTACCTCCTCCACCCCTTCCTCCTCCTATTCCTTCTTGCATTGGCTAGGGCATAGGCTCTGTTAGTCCAGTCTTTACCGTATCAGACACGTAAAATACGTATAAAATTGATAAAAATTACGACGTACCTTAAAATGAATTCTTTGAAATTATTTTAAATTTTCTTTTCTAATCGAACTAAAACTCAATACTTTTTTAAAACTTCTTTAGGAAAAAAATCATTCTTGCGATATCTCCTTCTTTCCTCATTCTTCTTTTCCTCTTCATTCCCCTTCTCCACCCACTCCTCCTCCTCCTCCTTCTTTCATTGACTAGGGCGAAGACCCAGTAAGGTCCAGTCATTACCGTACCAGGCACTTAAAACGCGTATAAAATCCTCTCTATTTACATAAAATCATTTTTAAGACGCTCAATGGACGGGGTGAGGAAGGAGAGTAAGATAGTCAAAAAGTTGAATTCCAAAGAAGGAATCAAAATTCAGAGTAAGGAGAAAGTCATCAAGAATATTGTTCAGCGAGGAATTTTTCTTCAAAACATCGTTTTGTTATTCAATTAAAATTATTTGCTCATGAACAGCCTACGGGTGATTTCGACGCTTTCGCGCACTGAAAAAAAAGTCGCTTAGATCTAGAGTCCAGACTCTTAATTATATTGACGGGAAAAAATACTCTTATTTCAATCCGATTTTTCTTTGAATCGAAGAGCCGAGCATCTTGATGAAGGCGGATTTCATTTTGATTCAAGCAAAAATTCCGATTGAATCATGAGTATTTTTTGTTTCTAAGAGTCTGAACTCTAGATCCAAGCGACTTTTGGGAGGAGGGGGGGGGGGTTGAGTTAATAAAAATTACGATGTACTTTGCGACGCAAATTAAAAATTATTCTTAATTCTCTTTTCTATTCCAGCCTGAAAACTCAATCATCCGACTTTCGGTTTTTCCAGCGAGTGCTATGGCGTTCAAATTAGCACTTTGGGCCTTCGTATGCGCGGCCATTCTCGGACTGGTGTTGTCGGCGCCTGGAGGGGAGACCGGTTCCTGGTGTTACAAGCCCTCGAGGGAAGCATACTGGGGACACGCTTCCGGAACCTGTTGTCCAGGAAACATGGGCAGCGATAGGAGATGTTACGGCCTCCGCGGGGACAGCGGGAAGTGCACGAAATTCTACAACTGTTGCATCCACCAGTTCGGCAGTGGCAACAAGGAGAGTGATCCCTGCAACTGAGAACTCCCGTCAAAATGCGAACCCGCAGAGCTCCGAACTCGGAACTCAACTCAAAATTCGGAACTCATCTCAGAACTCGGAACTCAACTCAGAACTCGGAACTCAACTCAGCACTCGGAACTCAACTCAGAACTCGGAACTCAACTCAGAACTCGGAACTCAACTCAGAACTCGGAACTCAACTCAGAACTCCCATGCGCATGTTGCCGTATCTGTTGAGAGTTGCCTTGCCGGTTCTCCTTGGCAACAAGCGAATTCGACGAGCTCCTGCAAGTTTGTTGAAATGTAAAGTGACAGTCTCATTCCTTGTTCGGACTGACAGCAACACTTGAAAAAGAAAAAAAAGAATTAAACAGATGTTGTATTCAATGAGAATTCTGCCGTGCTCATATATAAGGGAAAACGCCATATGAACCTTCAGGCATTGCCAAATTTCCGTTGGTAAACCACAAATTTTCGGGAAAATTTGTGACTATTTTTCTTCCAATTTTTCAGATAATTTTGTTTGCAATTTTACCTGAAGTTCCTGAAAATTTCAAGGAAAAACATTCATTTCTTTTCTTAAAAATAAGAATTTTACCGAAGGAAATTTGGCAACTCTCGAATGTTCATACGGCGTTCTTCCTTAGCACGGCAGCATTTTCGTCGAATTTTTTTCGTTTTTCTTTTTCTTTTTTTGTTATTATTTTCGAAATTTATTTTCTAGGAGTTGAATGCTTCTCTCCAAACAAGCGATTCAATAAATGTTAGCCATAGCTTAAAACTGTTAAAATACGCTGGAAAAAAGTCTCTTGGATCCAGATTTCAGACTTTCCGAAAATTTGACAAGAAAAAATACCCTTGATTTATTAGGATTTTTGCTTAAATCGAGTGCCGAGCCTTTCAATTTAAGTGGATTTTCATTTGAAGCGAGCAAAAGTCCAATTGAATTGAGAGTAGTTTTTCTTGTCAATTGTTTTAAGAGTCTAGATTCTAGAACCAGGAGACTTTATTACTAGTGTATTTGTACAATTTTAAGCTCTGGCTGACATTAAATAAGTTACTTGTTTCGAGAGACGTACCTAGTAAAATAAGTTCGAAATGTTTTTCTTCATAAAAAAAGGAAATTTGACGATAATGCTTGTGAAATACAAAGTTTTTTCGGCACTTATTACCAAATCTAGTTCTTGAAAAGATCTCCAAAAATAAACATTTTGGTCCTTTTATATAGTATGATGTAAACGTTTTTCCGTTTGTTTATCTAAGGACACCTCCCGATTCAACTTTACCTTTCTCAACATTAAGTGCTTTTATTTACAGAAAAGGGGACAAAACTTTAATTTTAAAACCACAGTCGGACTGGAAAAACATTAGAAGACTAAAATCTTTTGCTGATCTCACCGCGACATTTTTTATTCACTCAAGTTCCCAGGATATCTCTAACGAGCTATGTCAAATTGCATTTCTCTTTCGAAGAATGATAACATTCTTGATAGAAGCGAGAATATATTCATAGATAGAACTCGATTTTTAAACAAATTAGTGGCTCGCTTTACACTCAGTCGATTGCTGGATTCAAAATTGATGGAGTCGAAGCAAGTTTGCGAACCAAAAAAAAGGAAACCTTTGACTTTTCAATGACTGAATCAAGCAAAAAGCTAGAGTTGAAAATATTAAAGGCAAACTTAGCCGCATTATTCTCTCTTGCGGCGGCTGGGAGAAGATTTAAAGCTCCCCGAGAACTTTAGTCCTTTCAAAAACATTTTTCCTTTCACCCTAGCATCTTGAGAGCATTTTCAATGACCGTGACAAACAAACGGCCAGGACTTCAGATCTTCGCAAAATAATTCAGTTGCGCTTGGAAAAATATTCAAGGATTCCGATTCTTGAATTCCTGATGGTCTCTACTATAACCTACTGCGCTTCCGTGCTGAGGAAAAACGCCGCATGAACATTCAAGAGTTGCCAAATTTTCTCTTAGAAAGTATTTACTGGTGAAGAAAGTCATGGATATTTTCCCTTGAAATTTTAAGACTTTTTAGATCAAATTAAGGACAAAATCCTCTGAAAAAATCTGGGAAATATATTAAACAAATTTCCCGAAAATTCATGATTTGTCGAAGGAGATTTGGCAATAGCTGATGGTTCATACGGCGTTCTTCCTTAGCACGGCAGTATGATAGAACGCTTTAACAACATTCGAATGTTGCCTTCCTCCTAGGAAAATATTCATTTTTGGGGAAATTTATGAATACATTGATGTCTAGTTTCAGGGTCGGACTGACCATAAGGCCAATCTGCCATTGGCAGATGCGCCCCCCTCAGCGCGCCGAAGGCACGCCCCTCCTCCGGCTGCTAGAATGATAATGAAGAAAATGAAGAATAGGAGAAAAGAAAGAAAAGAAAAAATGAAAAAAAGAAAATGAAAAAAAAGAAAAGAATAATAAATAAAAAGCAAGGAGAAGAGAAAATAAGTAAAGAAAAAAATGCCTAAAAATTATAAGTAAACGAGAGAAGCTTTAATAGGAGTTATAGAGGAAAGTGTATTCTGTATTCTGTCCCCTTGTCTCATTTTTCTTTTCTTTAGCTACGTAGTATGTATATTCATCAGGGCCGGATTTACCTACTTGCCGCCCATGGGCCGCCTGTATTTTGCCGCCCCCTTCTCATTCGTTTTGAGACATCAATAAAACCATCAAGTGAACGTGCCGGAGGTAGCGGGGAGCATGAAACACGTTTACTCGTGTTTGACACAATTTTTGCGAAAGCCCTGTCAGCACTACTAGCGAAAGTTCACGGAACTTTGAGCGAAATTTAAGTCCTGTAAACCTATCTCTTTGTGGACAAGGCCTTCCATTTATAAGCGTTGAACGAAAAAATCAAGAAAGAACAAACATAAATGTGGTTAAATAATTTTAACTTCCGCCGCCGCTCCGCGCTCACCGCACTGTATTTGGTGCAATGCGGGAAGTATTCCTACTGTCTTGTAGGCGCTATGCGTTCCACGCTGACCGCTGCTGACCGCACTGTGTCTGACGCAATGCGTGAAGTATTCATGCAATCTTGTAGGCGCTAATATGTGTTACATGCCGACCGCCGCGCCGCGCCGAGGGCTTCTCCTTCTCATCTCAAGTCCTCGTTTTTCAGTCCCTCTCTTAATTCGACTAATTAAAGATGCTGTCTCTTGTATCACCGAAAAACAACAAAATTAGAAATTACTATACTCTTAGGAAAGGGAGATTTTGTCCCCTTTTCTCATTGATAATTTTTTTTCTGAATCCCATTTTTTTTATGCCTACATTTAAAAAAATTGCAAAATTTGCTATCATGGGCCGCGGCCCATGTGGCCACCCCCTTAATCTGGCCCTGATATTCATTGTTCCCACTTTGTTTAAACATTTGAAAATTTAAATTTAAAATGTATTGTATCAGTTATTCATACAACTAGGGGCTTATGGGGCTGCTTCGCAGCCCCTTATTTTTCCTGTACACTTTTCACTTTCACATTTTTTTTTTTTTTATTTATTTTCATTTAATTTTCTGTTTTGTCTTTGAATCGGGTCTAATTATTTTTTTGAGAGAATAAATATAACAAATGTTTTCAAAAATTGTAATTTTATTTAGTAAACTTTAAACTAAAATTTTGTTTTAATCTTCATACAAAATTATTTTTTAGGTTTCACATTTGTTTTCAAACTAATTTTAAAGAAGATCTTTTTTTATTTTTTAAATACTTTGCTTTTTTTTCGATTAAATTGTTGATTCTTCTTTTGCCATTTCTGTCCTGCTTTTCTTCCTATATTTCCTACAACTTTGCTCTTCTTCTTTCCTCCTTTTGTCTTTTCTTTTTTTGCTTCTTCTTTTTCTTCTTCAGTAGCTGTTCCTTCTGGTTCTTCTTCTTTTTCTGCTCCTGTTTTAACTTCATCGAATTTTTCCGCTTTTTCTTCTTTGTTTTTTCCATGTTCAGTCTGCTTTCTGGTTCCGGTAATAAACTTACCTATGTATGGATCCTTGAACTTTAAAGCAATAAGGTCCATCACCCGGAATATCAATTCGATTTGCAGAGAAAGAGGCAAAAGCAACAGCACTATTATAATTTCTGATATGCTTTATGAAATTTGGAGAATATAAAAATAATGATTTCAAATCGGTATTTGTCCGAATACTCGGTAAAGAAATTAAGCCATTTTAGCAGCAGTTATTAAAATGACCATTGGACATTTTACCCTGAAAATGGCGAGCATCACAATGATGACAAATTATATTCATTGAACCGACTGAAAATTTGGTAACAAAATTTTCATCAAAGTTCTGATCATAGATTTTATGCTTCCGAAATGAAGAAATGAAACTTTGATTTTCTATACTAATAACAGAGTTAAGTTCTTGCTTCACTAAACGAACATGCAAAGAATTCTGGAAAACGCGACCACGCTTTGGAGGACGACCGCCTCGGTCATTGAAAATTTCACTCATAACAACTGTTAAATTTAAAATTAAAATTAGTAAAAATTATTATTATTTTAACAAAATCATAACTGAAAAGTTCAATTTTTAAATTAAAAAAAATAAATCAGAAGAAAAAGGATGAAATGAAAATGGAAATTAATAATAAACATATTTATACACATTGAAAAGAAACAGCGTGAAAGAGAAAAAAAACTTGGAGGTTATTGACTTAATGAGGAAAAATTGGCAATAGGAAAAAGATGGAACCAATCATGAAAAACCGTAAAAAAAAAACGCGGGAAAAGAAAAATGTAAGTTGATGGCAGTTGAGTGTTGGAAGTAACCTCACTTAATGATGATTGTTGAATGAAAACAGCTGATAAAAAGACAGCAAACAGTAAAGTAAGATGCGTAGCAACAAAACTTTTCCGAAAAACAAAAAACAAAAAACCCCCACTTCCCCTCATCCAATTTATGAGTTTTTAGGGATTTAAAAATCGGGGACGAACCCCAGAAAATAATTTATAGTTTTCCCGAAGCATTGAGAACAACACCTTTCAAATGAACCAACGCCCCTCGCAATTGGTACAGTGGTTGATTCACAATTTCATTCTATTTTTCAAATTAGATATTAAGATATACAGGGTCCGAAGTATTTATTGTTTTCTTGTCACCCTCATTTTCCACCTTCCAGTTTTCAAAGGCATGATTTTGGATCTCTTGAGCTCTGGCTTGTTTCTTCCAGAGATAATGGTGCTTGGATGCCCCGAATAGCTTTTCTTTGATTGATCGATTTTAAATTTTTCATCTCACAATTCTTCCGATACTTTTATTATTACGTTCAATTTCAGAATTTTCTTTAGTAAAATTAATCGATTTTGAACCTGAAAATATCGTCAAAATTCTAC